GCCGACCTTGATGGTGAGTGTTTGCTGGCCACTCTCCAAAATTTGTCTAATAAGCCTTAGTTACATTCTCAAATCAGCTTGCATCCATTCATTGTTGTTTTTACATGACAACATCCTGCTTTATGGCAAAAGCAGAAGTGTATGATTTGCTGGGGGCAGGGCTCTATGGATAACAATGGTTGGTCCACCACTTTGGTCCAGACTGAAATATCTCAACTACTGGATGGACTGCCATGAAATTTGGTACAGACATTCATTTTCCTCTCAGGATGAACTGTAATAACTTTGGTGATCTCCCGACTTTTCCTCTAGTGCCGTCCCCTTCCAACAAGTTAATGACTAAATAGACTAATAAAGCATTCCCATCCGCCTCAGCTTTTTTACTGCCAATTAGCAAATGTTAGCATGCCAACACACAAAACTATGAGGAAAAAGCATTGTTTGTGCTAAACATCAGCATGTTAGCATTGTCACTGAGAGCATGTTAACATTCTGTACGCATTCACTTCATCATACTAGCATCACAGTGCCACAGAGCTGCTAGCATCTTGATTTACTAGTTCATATGCTAAACCAGAATCAGGTTTTCCTTGTGTCTCTAGTGATCTGACTACTGCTATAAACATTAGCATTATAATGTATAAGTCTTTGCAAAAGACCTCAGTTCTCAACTTTACAGAATCCCAAAAAACTTGTTTTTATGTGAGAATGTGAATATTGCTTGACAGACATAAAGAACACAGACATTTGATTCAGTGTCTCAATTCCTACTGTATACCTTAAAGCTTACTGTTTTGGATTAAGCTAATGACATTATAAGGCATTGGAGACATAGCAAGTTTTAGTCAAAAGATATAGTACAATTATACATGATGGGTTCCTGTGGCAAGTTCATTAATTGTGACTATCAGGCAAAGGTATAGAGTGAATACCTCCACAGGTACTCTGTTTGACAAAACTTAGTTACTTAAGATAATCAGTCCTCCTACTGCTAGATATTAGGGAGCACCGTGGTTATGTTTAACACAGGAACAGCACAAGACAGCAACACATTATACCTCCTAATAGTCACTGAATTGGATCACTAGCTACAGTCATTATCAGTTAAGTGTGTGTGTGTGTGTGTGTGTGTGTGTGTGTAGGGATCATCGAGACATACAAAGTGCTGGAGGGAGGGAGAATAGAGGAAGATGTCCACACAAAGCACCCAATTAGCAGAACAACAGAGGGTTAAATTACACCGAAACTCGGCCTTCTTCTAAATTCTTTTTTTTTTCTCTTTAGCAGCATCAGTGATAAGCAGAGATTCATTGTGATGACATCTCTCTACCACAGTCAGCTGTTCGTGTAGGAGGAGAGGAGGAGAATGCTCTGTGGTCCATACATGATAAATTAGCATAAAAACATACATTTAGTGCCACCCTCGAGATAACAAGGAGAAGATGCATCATGGTGATTTTTACATTAGATTACTGATTCATACTCAGCTTGAGGTATGGTTGCAAGTAAATTGCATTATCTCACTGACATGTTGCCATCCCTATATATTCAATAATAAAAAGCAGTTAAGAACAATATGTTAATCAGAGAGAGGAGAAAAGTATCATGTCACTACTACGGTTTACTATCATGGAACATGTATTATAGGTCAACGAATGACAGAACACTTGATATAATTGTGCAGTTTCTTTTTCAAAAATAATGCAACACTTGAACTGTAAATCTGACTCAAGCTCGTGGTAACATTTCTTTTAAATCAGACCATAAGCTCCACTGACTTTAGAGACTGTGATGTTCTTTAAACCCTATAGATTTGCTAGTCTTAAAACATAGGATGGACATAGACGGAATACATGGATGAAAGGGTCAGCATCATAATAATCAGAAGTCATCCTGTTGGAACCATTCGTTTCAATACCACATTTCATTTTCCTTGAGATATCTTGCCCTGGGCTAGGTGTCAGATAGAAGGACAGATCCTGGCCATTCTAAGGCCCTTCCACAAAAAAAAAAAACTTTTGAGAAGCTTGGTCACAAAGTGTTGGGCAGACTTGTCATCTGTAGCTTTTCAAAGTTCTCTGCTGAACTGTGGGTGAGCCCTCACGTCTGAGAGTGGCTGAATTGAAATCCTTTCGACTGGCCGAATGTTGTATGACAGACTTAGATTGGCTATGAGTCACCAAACTGTCCTTCTTCCTGAAAGGTTGCATTGTAGACGCTTAATGAAAGCTGCTCCAGTGGTTTAGGCACCAGCTTGACTTTGAATCATGGGTGCGTGACATAGCAGCAAGGATTGCAATAGTTAAAGTAATAACTCTGGGATTCAAAAGGAAATAATTCGGCCTTATTGTTTTAAGGCATACCTGGAAAAGAGTCAAGAGGTAAGCACTGGAAATGTTATGTCTGATATGATTGATGAGGGGAAGGATGACGGGCGGGTGAGGACAGACAATATGAATTTTACCTCCTCCAGCTAAATGGCAGCAGCTTGCAGAAGAGAAGCGGAGCTGCAGGGTTAAAGAGGTGAGAAGTCTCCCATCGTGACAGGAGTGCGGCCATTATCACGCAACAGCCATGGGTATTAAATTGAGTTATTTCTGCCACATCCAGCTGCCAGCTGGAGATAAGCGCTGTTTGGCTGAACCTTTGAACTTACCAGCGTCTCTTGGAACCCATGCTCACCACGTTAATTGATGTATGCACCTTCAGCACTGTTGCCTCATATTAAGGCAACAAAAATTCTGTCGCTGGGATAAGTGGATTGGCAGAACTTGATTTCAAGTCAAACTGAATTATTGTACTATACGGGCAATGAATGCATGTGATGAGGCATTGAGCACTTAGCTAAAGAATGCTTAGCTTCCAAGCCACTTCAGGATAATTGATGGATATTTTATAACATGTATATTTACTCAGGCATAAATATGACAGATCCCAGGTGGAAGGACTGTGTACAGATTATGTACCTGCAGAAGTAGGATAACTAAAGAATGACAAAGGAATTTGTCTTTTGAGGTGTTGAGCATCTGTTGAGGGATTTTGCCTCCTCTCAAGCAGATAAAATATACTTTTGATAATGTGAATAATTTGCTGTAAAATTACACTTATGTTACATTCACATTCACTGTTCAGTTAACATGCCAATGATCAAGAGTATTCATTCCACTCCCATCCCATTTTCATTTAATCAGTCGGTGGAATAAAAAAAAAGCAAAACAAAAACAATACAGGGGAAACTTGTAACAAAAGTATATCCATATCTAAATGTTGCTAACCTCAAAATTTATACCTTTGCCATCATCAGAGCACCCTTGTTTCTTTATCAGCACCAAATTAATTAGATTCCCACACCTTCTTCAGAGCAGACATTTTGACTGGAAACCACCGGCTTAGACTGAACATGGAGCCATTCGGACACCATCAATGTAGATGTGAGTCTAACAAGCTGAAAGTCTGAGAGATGGCCACTTCAGAGAGGACAAACCCTTTTGATTTCAGTAACAACATGGCCTTTTCTCTGCCACTACTCCCATGCGTAACATTACAGTTGTGCCCGACAGATGTAACAGTTGCTTATCCATTTAATATCCATCCAGCAATCTTTTTTTTAGGGATGCACCGAATGTTTGGCAACCGAAATTAAACGGCTGAAAATAGCAAAAGTAGCACTTCCGGTGTTACATTACATTACATTGACATGTCAGCAGTGTGGAAGCATTTTAAAGTGTCTGAGAAAGATGCAAAAATCGCCTTTAACAGACACTGGTCTGCTGAATTGTCTAGCACATCCACTCCATCTGTGGCTGACTTCTTAGAAAAGGCAACAAATTATCTGAACCGCTTTGAGTGTTTTTGTCGCTCGTTTGTGAGAATGCGGTTAAGCTAGCTGCACCTAAATTTGGAGTGGACACGTATTCAAGTCTTTATGGTAAATCCACTGAAACAGACCATATTCGGTTTCAGCTTAAGCCATTTCGGTGCATCCCTACTTTTTTTTGGTGTGTAACGAGCTTTACAGCCCTACAGGCTTCACCCTTCACCTGGAATTACTAAAATACATTTTATGTTGTTGTGCAGTGTTGCCTTCCTTTAATTTCTGTCATACTTTCAATTATCAGGCCCAGTGACCCATAGCAAGAGATCTGGACTGACTCAACCCTGGT